TTCCAGCCTTATCCATGTCCCTACAAAGGACATTAACTCATCCTTTTTTATGGCTGCATAGTATTCCATGGTGTATTTGTGCCACATTTTCTTAATCCAGTCTGTCATTGATGGACATTTGGGTTGGTTCCAAGTCTTTGCTATTGTGAATAGTGCCGCAATAAACATACGTGTGCATGTGTCTTTATAGCAGCATGATTTATACTCCTTTGGGTATATACCCAGTAATGGGATGGCTGGGTCAAATGGTATTTCTAGTTCTAGATCCTTGAGGAATCGCCAAACTGTCTTGCACAATGGTTGAACTAGTTTACAGTCCCACCAACAGTGTAAAAGTGTTCCTATTTCTCCACATCCTCTCCAGCACCTGTTAGAAAATTCTGGACTTTTTAACGATCACCATTCTAACTGGTGTGAGATGGTATCTCATTGTGGTTTAACTGGTTCAGCATACACAAATCAATAAACATAATCCAGCATATAAACAGAACCAAAGACAAAAACCACATGATTATCTCAATAGATGCAGAAAAGGCCTTTGACAAAATTCAACAGCCCTTCATGCTAAAAACTCTCAATAAATTCGGTATTGATGGAACGTATCTCAAAATAATAAGAGCTGTTTATGACAAACCCACAGCCAATATCATACTGAATGGGCAAAAACTAGAAGCATTCCCTTTGAAAACTGGCACAAGACAGGGATGCCCTCTCTCACCACTCCTATTCAACATAGTGTTGGAAGTTCTGGCCAGGGCAATCAGGCAGGAGAAAGAAATAAAGGGTATTCAATTAGGAAAAGAGGAAGTCAAATTGTCCCTGTTTGTAGATGACATGATTGTATATTTAGAAAACCCCATTGTCTCAGCCCAAAGTCTCCTTAAGCTGATAAGCAACTTCAGCAAAGTCTCAGGATACAAAAATCAATGTACAAAAATCACAAGCGTTCCTATACACCAATAACAGACAAACAGAGAGCCAAATCATGAATGAACTCCCATTCACAATTGCTTCAAATAGAATAAAATACCTAGGAATCCAACTTACAAGGGATGTGAAGGACCACTTCAAGAAGAACTACAAACCACTGCTCAGTGAAATAAAAGAGGACACAAACAAATGGAAGAACATTCCATGCTCATGCATAGGAAGAATCAATATTGTGAAAATGGCCATACTGCCCAAGGTAATTTATAGATTCAGTGCCATCCCCATTAAGCTACCAATGACTTTCTCCACAGAATTGGAAAAGACTACAAAGTATTTTAACCTGAACTCTAGATAAAACATTAATCATTGAGTGAATATAATGTGATATAATTTTTCATGTCATTATAAAATTATGAGATAACCACATAATTCAGCATATCACTTGATTTTTAATCAGATACACATAGAATGTAAATACTTGTAATATATGCTTGAAGTAAAAATGGAATAGATTGTTTTCCTGAGGACATATCTCGTATGCATTGGTTTTAAAAAAAAATTGGAACTTTTTTTTGTTTTTGAGACAGGATCTCATTCTGTTGCCCAAGCTGGAGTGCAGTGGTACAATCTTGGCTCACTGCATCCTTGACTTCCTAGGCTGAAGCAATCCTTCCACCTCAGCCTCCTTTGTAGCTGGGATCACAGGTGTGCATCACCATGCTCAGCTAATTTTTTATTTTTTGTAGAGATGGGTCTTCCTGTGTATCCCCAGCTGGTCTTGAACTCCTGGGCTCAGCAGTCCTCTTGTCTCCACCTCCGAAAGTGATGGGAATGCAGGCGTGAGCCACTGTTCCTGGCTGAAGTTAACTTTTAATCAGATTTACAGATTGTTATTTACAGAATAGATTCATGACTATGGTGATTTATCTTTTTTTTTTTCCCGGAGACGGAGTTTTGCTCTGTCATCCAGGCTGCAGTGCTGTGGCACAATCTTGGCTCACTGCAGCCTCCGCCTCCTGGGTTCAAGCACTTCTTCTGCCTCAGCCTCCCCAGTAGCTGGGATTACAGGCGCACACCACCATGCCCAGCTAATTTTGTATTTTTAGTAGAGATGGGGTTTCACTATGTTGGACAGGCTGGTCTCGAACTCCTGACCTCGTGATCCATCCACCTGGGCCTCCCAAAGTGCTGAGATTACAGGTGTGAGCCACCGTGCCCAGCCAATTTAACTGTTTTTAAAATCCTTCGTAAAGGTACATCATTACCTGAAGTATCATCTAATGAGATTCTACTTCTTCAAAATATTTTTAAAAATATGTTTATGTTAATATTAAGGTTAATGTGCAATTCATTAGCAAATCACAAATTAGCACTCTAAATATACTTGTGGTTGTGGTAGGATTTTCACTAGTTTGTTCACGCATTCATTCACCTAGTCTGTACAAATTCCTAGTGTATATAGTTGTACCCCTGCTGCTGGCAGTTAGGTGTGGCAATGGAAAGTATTAGAGATAACTGGGTTTTTGCATTAGATTGAAGTTCCAACCAGGCAAATTTTAAATTTAATGTGAAAACACTAAGTAGGTATGGGATTTGGCTACTTCTCAAAATTAAATGTTTTACTTGGAGAAATAATAGAACATTTCTCATCAGTCATCTTCAGTGGAAGAATACATGGTCTTTGTGGCCTGGCTTGATGTTTGAAAGTAAATTCTTTCAAATTCCATTTAGAGCTAACACATGCAATATAAAACAATTTCAATTATTTAACATTTTAAAGCTAAAAATATTATTTAGAGTAAAATTACAGGACTTCTTTAGCTGAGGAACAAAATTCTGGTTAATTTTTATTTAGGTTCAAATATCTAAAATGCTTCTCCATAAATTTTCTGTGGCTGTAAAGGTAGAAAATAGCTGGAACTTGTGAGTTAGGAAGGTAAAATTGTGGGAAATCAGACACTCTTTCAAATTATGGCATAGTCGGTGGAAAGAACAATAGAACATATTTGAAGAAATCTGTTTGTCAATCTTTATGCCAGTATCACATGGTCTTAGTTCATTTTGTGCTGCTGTAACAGAGTGGGTAATTTATAATGAACAGATATTTATTGGCTCACAGTTCTAGAGGCTGGGATGTCCAATATAAAGGTGCTGGCATCTGGCGGAAGCCTTGTTACTACTTCATAGCATAGTGGAAGGCATATGCCAGCAGGGTTAGAGAGCGCAAAAAGGGTTGACCACTCTCAGTGATAATGGCATTAGTTGGTTTGTGAGGCACCCTCATAACTTAAACACCTCTTAAAGGTGTCATCTCACAATACAAGCACAGTGACATTTACATTTCAACATGAGTTTTTGGAGGAAATACATTCAGGCCTAGCATATACTATCCTGATTACCGTAATTGGTTTTGTCTTCTTCCAACTTTGTATTTTTTTTTAAAGAATGCTTTGGCTAATCTGGGATTTTTTATTCTCATATAAATTTTGGAATCAGTTTGTCAATTTTTGCAGTTAAAAAACCTGGTGAGATTAATTCAGTTTTTAAAATAGCTACAGTCTATATAGATTTTCTGTTATTTTCAGTAATTTGGTTTTTTAAAAATAGTATTTGTCTATTCCATGTAAATTGTCAAATGTATTTGTGTTAAGTTGTTTATAACATTTCTATCTTTTTTTTTTCTGTTTTGTTTTTCATTTTTTTGAGACAGAGTCTTGCTCTGTCACCCAGCCTGGAATGCAGTGGCTCAGTCTCAGTTCACTGCAACCTCTGCCTCCCAGGTTCAAACGATTCTCATGCCTCAGCCTCCTGAGTAGCTGGGATTACAGGTGTGCGCCACCATGCCCAGCTAATTTTTGTGTTTTTAGTAGAGACGGAGTTTCACCATGTTGGCCAGGCTGGTCTCAAACTCCTGGGCTCGAGCGATCCACCTGCCTTGGCCTCCCAAAGTGTTGGGATTACAGGTGTGAGCCACTGTACCCGGCTCTATAAGATTTCTTTATTACCCTTTTAATTTCTGTAATTATTTATTGCTTCCTAACAGATTATGCTTGAACAACATCTTAAAACAACCAACATTTATTATCATAATTCCTTTGGGTCAGGAATCTCAGCTGAGTGCCTCTGACTCAGGATCTTCCACAGTGCTGCAGTCAAGGTTTGGCCAGGGCTATAGTCATTTCAAGGCATGACTTGAAGAGGACCTACTTTCAAGATTACTCACATAGATATAGAATTCTGGATTGACATTCTTTACCTCTTTCATCATATTAAAGATTCCCTTCCATCGTCTTTTGGGCTTCATTGTTTCAAATAACAAGCTACTCATTTTCATTCTGTGTTGCGTTTCTCTGGCTGCTTTCAAGATTTTCTATTTAGCTTTGGATTTCAGCTGTTTATTTATTATGTGCCTAAGTATGGTTTTCTTTGTTTTATCTTTTTGGGGTTTGCCAAAATTCTAGAGTCTTTAAATTTATATCTTCTACCAAATTTGGGGAAATTTTGGCCATTGTTTCTTTTTCTCTGCCATATCTCTCTTCTTTATTTCTGGGACTTCAGTTACACATATGGCAGACCTTTTGATTTTATCTTATAATTCATTATGGGATAATTTTCTTCAACTTCTCTTTTTTGTTTTTCAGATTCAAAAATTTCTTTTGGTTTATCTTCAAGTTTACCAACTCTTCAATCTATACAGTGAATTTTAAAAAATATATTAAAAATTCTTGAATTTTTGTTTTGTTCTTTTTTTAATAGCTTCTTTTGCTGAGCTTACCTATTTTTAATGAACTTTTGTTATTATCTGATGCATAATTATGATATCTATTTTAATATTATTGCTGATTTTAACATCTAAGTTATCTCTAGACTTGGTCTTCATTGATTGCTTTTTCTTATGGAATAGTTTTGGATATTTCACAATTGGCATCAGGAATCCAACATCACACTGAAAACTGTAATTGTATATTGTAAAATTTTTAGTATACATTCTCTTATTGTTCTCTTATAACTTCCAGCAATGCCCTTTTACAAAATGGATGTTTTAACATGATCTTTGCTTTCTTTTGCAGGGCATCTTCTCTACATTCAGTTTCATCCAAGTCATTCCGGGATTTCTTACTAGAAGAAAAAAAGTCTGTTACTAGCCATAGTTCAGGCGATCATGTCAAAAAAGTTTCTTTTAAAGGAATTGAAAATTCTCAGGCACCAAAAATTGTCAGGTAATAAAACATACTTAAAACTAATACAGTTTCTACCTTAAAATAGTCTGTGGTGGTTTTATGTTCTGAAATAATATTTAAAACTTTATGAGGCAGATTTTTTTGTACACTCTTTTACATTCAGAATTAAAATTAGCATATGTAAATTCCTTCCCTACTTAAAAAAATTGAAACAGTTATTGAGATATAATTGACTTAAAATCAATTGCATCTATTTAAAGTACACATTCTGTGTTTCAGCATATATATACACCTATGATACCACCACAACATTCAAAATAGTGAACATAAGCATCATTTTCAGATGTTTTGTCATGACCCTTTGTAATCCCTTCCTCTCTTCCTTCTGTTTCCCCCTCCCAAGCAGCTACTAATCTGCCAATACAGACTAGCGTGTACATTTTAGAGTTTTATATCAGCAGGGTCGTGCAGTATGTACCCCTAGTAAAAAGTCTTCTTTTACTCAGCATAATTATTTTGAGATTTATTCATGCTGTTATGGGTATCCATTGATTCTGTTTCATTGCTGAATAGTATTTCATTGTACGGGCATACCACATACAATGTGTTTATCTGTGCATCTGTTGATGAACCTTTGGGTATTTGCAATTTTTTCTGTAGCTATTTTTTAATTTTAATTTTCATGAAAGTAGAGATGGGGGTCTCATTATGTTGCCCAGGCTGGTCTCGAACTTCTGCCCTCAAGCAGTTCTCCCACCTCAGCCTTCCAAAGTGCTAGGATTACAGGCATGAGCTGCCACACCTGGCCTAGCTATTTTTAATACTGCTTTAGAAAGTCCAATGTATTTTAAAGAAAAAAGTTTCATATTTTAAATGCCTACATGAAGCATCAAAATCTATAATTTAAAAGCAGTATTTTCAGTGAGCTGTGATCGAACCACTGCACTCCAGCATGGGTGACAGAGTGAGACCTGGTCTCAAACGAACAAAACAAAATAAGTAAGGTATGTTATGTCCAATTCAAGTGCATCAAACAGATAATATAAACTTTTCTGACTGAAGCACAGAATGGAGACTGGGGAGTTATACTAGTTTAATGTCACTTTACCTGCCCTAAGGAACTATCAGAGTCTTCTAACAACAGTGTTTGGAAACTCCTGATTTAGATTAAATGTTTAGGTGTATTTTCACTGTTAGTATTGTGACTGTCTTCTTTTTTACAGATATTTACTTTTAGGAGGAAAGTTCTTGAGCCTTAAAAGATCTGAAGTCATCTCCCTAACTTGTCTAATACTTCTAGCATTAAAATACTATTTTAAAATAAAAATCTTAGGCTGAGTTCGGTGGCTTAATGCCTGTAATCCTAGCACTTTGGGAGGCCGAGGTGGGCAGATCACTTGAGTCCAGGGGTTTGAGACCAGCCTAGCAACATGATGAAACCCTGTCTCTACAAAAAATAGCAAGAAAAATAAATTAGCTCGGCTTGGTGGCATGTGCCCATAGTCCCATCTATTCAGGAGGCTGGGTTGGGAGGATTGCTTGAGCCTGGGAGGTAAAGGCTGCAGTTAGCCTTGATTGTGCCACTGCACTCCAGCCTGAGCAACAGAGGGAGACCCCATCTCAAAAACAAACAAACAAAACAAAACAAAACAAAACCTTAAATGGAATACTAACACATGAAGCAGATTAAATCTTTTTGCATATTAATTTATACAATTATAATTATGATAGGCTTATAAATATAAAACTAGGTACATAGTCTTCAAATTGGCTATCAAACATTTATTGATTATGAACTTTGTATCAGACATTATGCTAAGTACTAGAGTTACAGTGGTGAACAAATTAGCCCCTGCCTATATAGAACTATGCTCCTTTCTTGTTTTGCCATAGAAAAGTTCTCTCTCTTATCTTAGGCCAATACCTTTGCTTTTATCTTAATGCTTCCCACTTCAGAAGCCTGAAAACTATTAATTATCCCTTTCCTTTCTTGTGTAAGATTCAACCTTTTCCTTTTAACTAGATTTTTCCCCTCTGGTTTTGAATGTGCTCAGGTCTCTCATGTGGTCTGGGCACACTTTCTTCTATCAGTTGTCCTGTCATTACCAATTTTCCATCTCCTTCACAGCCAGATTTCTCAAAAGAGTTGTCACCTCCCACTCAGTCCGTAATTCATTCTGTCTCCCAGCCCCATTACTAGTATCTCTTGCCCGTATCTATCATCTGGGCTTTAGACTTAATTATCTCTTATTGACCCTACCATTCTATCTGCATGTTCAGAAACACCGCAAACTTCATGTCCAAAATGAAACTTAATGTTTTCCTCATACCCCTCTCATAAAACCAAAATCAAACAAAAATATAGAAAAACATAGCATAGCCTATTCTTTCAGAATTTTCTTCCTCAGTAAATAGGAAGAATTTGTGTCTTTGGCACTTCCATTTTCTTCACAAGTATTCAGTCTACTGTTAGAGCATTCCAGTTTTATCTCTTAAATATTTCTCAAATCCATATACTAAATTTTATCTCCAGTGCTATCACCTCTGAATCAGTTTACTGTGATACTTCACCCGGGCCACCAGAGTTGCCCTACTGACTGGTCTTGCCTTTCTTTCCTCCAATATATTAAGCTAGTGTGTTCTTTTTTAAAATTTGGAGTTTACTGCTTTTAAGAAAAAAGCTATAGCATTCTTAATATGGCCTTCAAGGCCTACATAGTCTGGCTCCTGCCTACTGTCTTTAACTTGATTTTGTAACCTGATCTCTGTGTTCTAGTCATCTTGGCCTTCTCTTAGTTCTCAAATGCACTTTCCGTCTTTCTACCTCCTTACCCTTTGACAGACTGACTCTGACTCTTCTTTCAATATCTATTCAGTTATATTCTTTGGAGAAGTCTGACTTACTGGGGCAGTTTACTGTTGTATGTTCTCATGGTACTTTTTTATTGTACGTTTATTAGTGTGATTCTTTAATATTTGTCTACTCTAAGTATTTTCATGTCTGTATGTTTAATTATATGTTCAATGAGAGCAAGGAGGTTTGTCATTGCTCATCATTTTACTACCAGTGTTCAGACTGGCTCCTGGCAAGGTGCTCCGTGAGTCTGGTGAATGACTAAATGAGTAAATTAATTAAAATTGTTACCCTGTTTGAAGTAACATTTGTTTCTAATGTAGTGATTTGTATTGCATGTCTTAGATATATCAATTTAAAGGTATGAAAATTAAGATAATTTTTGTATTTTTATATTTTAAATATTAATATTCATTGAAACTTTAAAAAAATGTCTTTAGATATATAACGATTTGTCATGGAACTTAAAATATGGATCTGCGGTTTCAGAGTTGATCACTAGAGTGTGCTATAACATCAGGGCTCTTTATAAGTGTGCCCTGTTACACTGCTTTGGAAGTTTGACTTAATGGAGTTTATGACAGTATGACATATCCATAGCTTCAGTATTTTTGGTATGGGAGTTAATGTTTTAAATAACTGTGGCTATCACTGATAGTTATTCTGAGAAAGAAAACATATAGCTTTGAGTTTCAGGGGTTTTTTTCTATCATAGAAAACATAGTAAGTATGCTTTTTTAAAAAGGAAATATAAAACGTTACAGACAAACTAAAATATTCATTAATTTGCAAATTATGGGCTACCTGGTACTGGCCTCTGTTGGGTATATATAAAAGTAGAATGTATAGGCGCAGCCTTTCATGTGTCTGAAACCTAGTTGATAAATATTAATGTACATACATGGACGTTAAATGACAGAATAAGAATGAAATTACGATACAAGGTCCAGGCGCTGTAGCTCACGCCTGTAATCTCAGCACTTTGGGAGGCCGAGGCAGGTGGATCACCTGAGGTCGGGAGTTCAAGACCAGCCTAACCAACATGGAGAAACCCCATCTCTACTAAAAATACAAAATTAGCCAGGCCTGGGGTGGCACATGCCTGTAATCCCAGCTACTTGGGAGGCTGAGGCAGGAAAATTGCTTGAACCCAGGAGTCAGAGGCGGAGGTTGCGGTGACCCGAGATTGCGCCATTGCACTCCAGCCTGGGCAACAAGACCGAAACTCCATCTCAAAAAAAAAAAAAAGCCAGGCATAGTGGTGCATGTCTGTAATTCCAGCTACTAGGGAGGCTGAGGAAGGAGAATTGCTTGAACTGGGAGGTGGAAGTTGCAGTGAGCCAGGATCATGCCACCACACTCCAGCCTGAGCAAGAGTGAGACTCTGTCTCCAAAAACAACAGCAACAACAACAACAACAACAAAAAAAAGAAAAGAATTACGATACAATATAGAAGTATTAAAGAGATTACAAAATGATGAAGTACCGAATGAGTGGTTCTGAGAAGGAAAACCGAGCACGGGCTGGTGTCAGGAAGACTTCATTGCAGAAGAGCTTGAGCTGTGTTAGTTCATAAGCACTTTTTATATTCATTTCTAAATATTATTATATTTATAAGCATGTGAATAATATTAGAAAAAAAGAGATCACTTAATTCTTGATCCCTTTCATTGTCATAAGCTTTTGAATACAGGATGGGATTTTTAAAAGAAGAAGTAAGAGAAGATGGGGCCGTATAAACAGGAAATCGTAGGAGTTAAGAAGATAGGAATGCTTATGGTCCTTTGGGGAGTTAGGGTGCCAGGGGTTGGGGACTCATCTCAGGAAATTCCACAAATTATACATGCTTGTTTAAGTTGTAGAAAATTTAGTTTTTTCCAAGATTAGGGCAAGAATGACAATGTTATTTGAGGGTGTTAACATCTAAAAGTGAGCAATTTGTACAATTTTTATTTGTTTATTGTTGCTTAGGTATTCTTTTTCATTTCATGTGCTTTTATTTCCTATTTTCCTTTCACTGAAATGTCCCCTTACGTAATTCTGGAAAGAAAATGTAAGCTGTGTTTCTTTTTTTTTTTTCGAGACAGAGTTTTGCTCTTGTCGCCCAGGCTAGAGTGCAATGGTGTGATCTCCACTCACTGCAACCTCTGCCTCCCAGGTTCAAGTGATTCTCCTGCCTCAGCCACCCCAGTAGCTACGACTACAGGCGCCTGCCACCGCGCCCGGCTGATGCTTGTATTTTTAATAGAGATGGGGTTTCACCATGTTGGTCAGACTAGTCTCGAACTCCTGACCTCAGGTGATCTGCCCACCTCAGCCTCCCAAAGTGCTGGGATTACAGGTGTGAGCCACTGCACCCAGCTGAGCTTGTTTCTAATTAGTGAGAAAAACTACTTGTGAGGCAAAAATTATTCTATGATTATATCAGCTCTAATCTTATATAAAAATCTTTCTAATTAAGCTAGTACAATTTTTTTTAAGGCCAAGTGAGCAAAGAATAATTTAGTTCCTTTAAAGTGTAAATGTGACAATATTAATGTTTTTTGGTTTGAACAAAAATCTTTTTTTTTTTTGAGACGGAGTTTTGTTCTTGTTGCCCCGGCTGGAGTGCAATGGCGTGATCTTGGCTCACCGCAACCTCTGCCCTCTGGGTTCAAGCGATTCTCCTGCCTCCGCTTCCTGAGTAGCTGGGATTACAGGCATGCGCCACCAAGCCCAGCTAATTTTGTATTTTTAGTAGAGATGGAGTTTCTCCATGTTGGTCAGGCTGGTCTCAAACTCCCTACCCCAGGTGATCTTCCTGCCTTGGCCTACCAAAGAGCTGGGATTACAGGCGTGAGCCACCGCGCCCGGCCTGAACAAAAATCTTTTAAGGAAAATGTCAGTTAACCTTTTTATGTTGCTGTTTATTTTCAGAAGTCTAAATTTTATACAGATTGTCTCTTGTGATATCTACTTTTATGTTGCTAATGTCGAAAACTCAATAATGCTATATTTATTATTTGAAAGTTTAGAATGTTTTTGATATTTGTTTAATCATAGCTCTATTTTATTTGACAAATTCGGTTCATTTTAAGACATTTAAGACAGACTACACGTTGTTTGGATAAATTTGTAATTAATGAAATTATCCACTGGAAAATCATGAGTGGAAAAAGTTATGGAATTGTAGTCTTAGGAAACATATTTGAGATTCAATATAACATTATACAGCTCTTTCTGAATCTTTCTGTATCTCAGTTTCATCATATGGAAATGAGAGTAGTAATACCATGCGGGTTTACTACAGGGCTTATATCAGTTTGTAATTCAGTAGCTATATCTCTAAGAAAAGTTATCAGTAATTTAAAGCAATAAAGAACCTAAAAACCTCTGTTTTTCATTATTGTATACTAAAAAAACCCTTTGAATTTCTGTTTCAGTCATTAATTTTCTAATTAATTTTCATAAGTATTTCCAAGTATGCTGCCGGACACTGAGATACAAAGATGAATGAAGCAGTCCTGTTCCTCAAGAGACTAGTCTAGCAATTAAGGTTGACATGTAAACGATAATAACAGTGTGTGATGCTTTATCATAATGATTGAAGTTTTGTAGGAGGAGAGAGAAAATGACATTTGAGCCAACAGTATAACAATGAGAGGACATTTGAAGTGGAATGTATTCCAGAATAAGGGGGATAGTAGAAATAAAGGCAGCTGTGTGATCATGGAAAAAACACTGTACTCTAAATCAAAAAGACCAGATTTTTGTTATCTCTCTGCTACTTATCTAATTTGTGAATCAGACAAATTATTTAATATTCTTTGAGTTTGTTTTTTCTTCTCTATAATGGGTTAATATATGCTTTCTTCACAGGGTATTGCAAAGATTAAATGGGATAATACACATGAAGTACTTAGGCTCTTAGTAAATTTGTTTGCCCACACATCAGGGCTTAACATTTTAGCTTTCAGTGCATTTTGTACTCTGGCCCTACTGTTTCTTTTAAACTTTATTTCTCTTTAAGTTTCTTCCTTGCCCTGAATTCAGACATTCTTTGCTTATTGATGAGAACAGCCTGCCTTTACTTAAAGCACTGAAATCTTTTATAGGTCTATGTATTTGTACAACCAAAATTCTTTTTAATTGTCCCTCTCCTCAGCTTTAATGTCATTTCCTCAGTGAAGCCATCAGTGTATACCATCTTCCATATTTTAGTTTTTCTCCTGTGCATCCATAGTACTGTATACATTGTTTTATTATTGCTTAAGTATATTTTTAAATCTTTCCCATCAGAATTTTTTGAGGGGAGAAGATTGGGTTTTAATCAGCCTGATTTTCAGCACCTACGATAATCCTGACATGCTCAATAAATGTGTGTAAATGAGTCATGAAGTCAATATTTTAGATCCTGTTAATTTACACTCTGACTTTGTGTTGTTAAACCTGTCTAGTCCTCAGTTTGCTCATTGCTGAAAGAGAGCATTGGAGTGATCTAGATAATCTCTAGATCTAATTTCTAACTGTAAAATTCCACAATTAGCTCGTCTGCATTGTACCTTTTTAAGTTTTTCTCCTTACTGGAATGCTTCTTATTGCTTTCATCATGTACCTCTTTTTTATTATCTTCTCAAGTTCATTCTTCTCCATGAGGCCCTCTCAAATGATTAAATATTGTGATTTGTATAGTTCTTATAACCAGTATAACTCAATTTGTTATACTGTCTTAAATTCTGTTCTGTTATTTTATATGTCATTTTGTATGTTGTTTCCTCCACTGGCTTGTGAATTCTTAGAAGGTAAAGATCATATTTTGTATTTCTGTCGTATCTGTAATTCTTTGCTCATAAAGTATGTTAGTTCCTCACAAAATTTGGCTGTTAATTATCTGATTTAGAGATTACTGGTTTATCTGGTATATATATATAATATTATTAGAAATAGGCTATTTCTTGCAATATCTTTCTCTATTATATTTTATACAGAAGGTTTTATAAATGTATATAGATTATTTTGTTTACTTATAATTTTAAAGGTAAGCTTGACTGCACTTATTTAATTTGCCTCTGGAGTCGGGAGTTTACAGTTTTTCCTCTGTATATATTAATAAGCAGTTTGACTAATATTACTAGAAGCTTTAATCTTTAATTTTGGCATTTGTTTTGCAGATGCTCTACCCATGGTGCCCCAGGACCAGAAGGCAACCATATTTCAGATTTACCACTTCTAGACAGTCCCAAGTAAGGTTAATTTATAAGTTATGGGCCTCCAAAGCTAAGTTGCTGCTTAGCATTGAAAACATTAAGGCCGAGTGCAGTGGCTCACACCTATAATCCCAGCACTTTAGGAGACTGAGGCGGGTGGATCATCTGAGGTCAGGAATTCAAGACCAGCCTGGCCAACATGGTGAAACTCTGTCTCTACTAAAAATACAAAACTTAGCTGGGCATGGTGGCACACGCCTGTGATCCCAGCTACTCATGAGGCTAGGGCAGGAGAATCGCTTGAACCTGGGAGGCAGAGGTTGCAGTGAGCCAAGATCATGCCACTGCACTCCAGCCTGGGTGACACAGTGAGACTCCGTCTCAAAAAAAAAAAAGAGAATAAGAGAATGTTAAGAAATTGGGAATAGTATGGTGTTGAGTAGAATGTATTACTTGAATCCTCTCTGTACTGTAGTTGGAGTTAGCTTTCTGTTCAGTTATGTTGTTTCTGCTCCCTCCCCATTTCCTGGTACTTTCCAAAATCTTCTCTCTAACACTGGTCCAAATAAAACGTTAGTTCTCCTGTTTTTCTGTTTCTCACCTCATCATTCTGTAATCTTTGTGAAAGCTTCCAGGTTCGCTCATTGTAGGTCACTGGAAAAAATTGTAGCATTGCTAAAGAGTATTTCAGAGAAAATTTTGCGTGCAAAAATTTAGGAAGATGAGTGAAACTCATTATTATTACTCTTTCAGTCCCTGGCTATCTTCTTCAGTGACTGCTCCATCCATGGTAGCCCCAGTCACTTTTGCATCTATTGTAGAAGAAGAACTACAACAGGAAGCAGCTCTTATTAGAAGTCGAGAAAAACCCTTGGCTCTGATTCAGGTAAATAACACACTTAGTAGGGTTTAATTTAGAGAAGAACTATATTTCCTACTTAAGTTTTAAGAAAATCATGTTTGTTTGCTTTGAAAAGGTGCCTGTATCTATGAAATTAAAATGTAAATGCCAGGTAAAATTGAACTGAGGCATCTAGCAGTGTATGTATTAGTTGTAGATATTCAGGACAATTAATTTATGACTAATAAATTATGATAAAGCTTATATTTTTGCTTTGGTGATACTTTGGATTATTTGTTTTTAAAAATGACCAGTAGAGAATTTGGCAGTATTCTCTAGTGCTACACTTGGCTTCTGTATCAGTAAGAATTCTGAGATTGTAAGCAACAGAAGCCTACTCTGGCTAACTTAAGGAAAACATAATTTATTTGAGGGCTATTAAGATTCCGTAGACTTAGCTGAAAGACCAGACAGCCAGGCTTGGAAACAGAAAAGACCCATGGTAGCACTGGAAAGCTCAGAAGCAAGATTTAGACGACTTGTACGATAGCAGAAAGTATCTCACAGAATAAGGCTATTGGAATGAATGAATTTCAGCAATCATTTTCAGTTTCTTTTTCCTTCTGCTCAAGATTCAAATTCAAGAGCCCATGGGTATCTCATGATTCTACCTCAGGCCCCAAGCTTTCTCCTTGCCACAGAGATAGCAGGATACTTGATTTAATTTCACTGTATTGTATCCATGGAAAGTGGTAGTACCTCAAAAGGAAATTGGAAGGCAAATACATCCTGCTTAGTTTATAATTAAAAGAGTAAAAAGTCTTCTTTCCCTTCTTCCTTTCAGATTGAGGAGCATGCCATACAAGATTTATTGGTTTTCTATGAGGCATTTGGCAACCCTGAAGAGTTTGTCATAGTTGAAAGGACACCGCAGGGACCACTGGCAGTACCTATGTGGAATAAGCATGGATGCTAGTTCACCGTGGAGTTGAGATGCATTTTTCATAATTATGAGTTTGTTCATACAAAGAAAAGCTGTGGAAAAGAGTCTTAGAGATTTTATAATATCATTCTAAATAGATTAAGAAAGGATATAATTTCTTTACTGCAGTTAAATCATATAATGTTTGTATGATTAAAAATAAATTTCTGAGAATTGTGATTTTAGTAACTTTATATAAAATGTGTGAGACAAAAACTTATTAAGGTTAAGTAGAATTGTTTCTTCTGAATAATCTAACAAAGGAAAATATAAGTGATTGAATCATAAGATATAAGGGGAATGAAGTATTAAAAATAACTTTTTTGTTTGAGAACTTGAGAATTTAGAAGATTTTGCCAAGTATGTGTTGTTGCTTGACTTTTTAAGTATGGCATTGATGAATTTAAAGTAGGAGCATCAGTTATTACTTCTGATTCATTAATGGCCAGAATTTTGTGTTTGGTCTAATAGTTGTGTCAACATTCTTGTTGCTTTTTAAAAATCAGGCTATGCCTGTGGTCCATGTCTATTCAAAGCTTGACCTGCACAAATGCCGTATTTCTGTTTGGACCACATATTCTCCATTTTGCATTAAGCAGTAGAGTACAGTGGAAAGGGAATAAGAATACTGATTATTCTGAAAAAAAAAAAAAAAAAAAAGATTTGGAATCATTGTGGGTTATTTATTTTTAGTGGGATGGAGGATCTTAAAAACACCTAGTTGTGAGAGAATCAATTTCTGAAAGTATTAAAATTTCTGAAAATAAATGCTTAATTACACATACAGGAATTAAACAGTTTAGAAGAGGGTTGGATTGTCATTACCTTTATAATACTGTATAATCAGAAGTTCTCTGAACCTCAGTTATACATCTAGACATAAAAATTGTTTTCTTTATAGGATGTTGTTTGGTTTGTTTCTGAGTGTTTAAATTTTTGAAAAACAAATGTTAAATTTGTGCTTCAGTACCTAGATAAATTGGAAAGGTTAATGTTCTAGTTTCTGGAAGATAAGTTTGGAAGACACATAAGCAATTCACTGCTATAATTTAGTTGATGTAAAATGACGGAAACTGACTCAATATTTCAGGTTTAGCTCTACCCAAAAGCAGCAGACATGTAAGCAGATGTGCAATAAAAAATGATCTTGATCCATTTCACTAATGTGTGCTTCACATTTTTTACCATATTGACATTTATTATGGAAAGAGTTAATATTTTTTCTGATGTGCTACACTAATAGCCAGTACATGGTTAAGTTGATGCTGCATTTATTCTAAGATGGATTTAAAAAGGCAGTTTTCTAAATATGATGTTGTGAATTTTTATGTGTGTTTGAGTAAATTGAGAAATGAATTTTATAAATGTTTTATCATTGTTGCTGTAAAGAAGCCTTTGAAGTAATTGATTTCATTTGAAACTTTGATTCTGCTGTATATATTGACATCTTTAATATTTACAGATACTATAAAGTGATGATTTTCTTGCTGTCTTCCATGCTGCCTGGGAAGCAGTCTTGGGGGTCTTTGTTGGATGGGGTGTGAAAGAGGGGCACGAACTGAACCGAGTCTGTGAGGCTTTAGGCCGTTACAAACCACAACCAGAGCAGTTGCACTTGATGGTCTGTATTATGTAGTGAGGTATTATATATAATTTTATTGGGAAAAAAGAAGTCCTTTTGCTAGTAAAGTTAAAGAGAAACACTGCCATAAACTGTATTTCTTCATAAATAATTCCACGAAGGTAGCTGTCTGACACATTGCTGTCAAAAAGCCCAGGAAAGTGGTAGGGGTTTTCTTTCTCCCCTAACAAAATAACATTATTCTGCTACAGTGTTCATCTCTAATTCCATAACCTCAAAAATACTTGATAGAATTGAAGAAATACTGGAAATGACAAATTTAAAAGATCAGTGGGATAGAGAGATCTTTAAGATTTATGGAAACACTTACAGAACTGTTTTTTTTTTTTTTTTCCTTGAGGCACAATCTCACTCCATCACTCAGACTGGAGTGCAGTGGCACGATTTTGGCTGACTGCAACCTTCGCCTCCTGGCAGAACTGTTCAGCCTGAAAAAGTGATGGTTCCGTAGGACATTGGGATAAGGGCATGTCAGAGGCAGAATATGCTTAAAATTTGCAAAATCAAGAAGACTGCAAAGTCAAATTTGTTGACAAGATACTGAGATTCAGGACTCTTCTTCAGGTCCTAAAGAGATGGTTTTTAAAATAAATTTAAGAAAACCTAGCTTTATATAGGAGCAATATCCAGTCATTTGAGAAAGTTATTGCTAGTTATGTCTAGGTTGATTCCCTATAGCTGTTTTGGAGGCCAGGGTGTATATATTTGTTCATGATAAGGTTTAAGTAGCTCTTTCATATAATTTTAGATCTGAAGCCTTATTGATTCATTTTATGTGTATTCTCTTCATTTTATAAATTGAAGAAAGCTGACCAGGCGTGGTGCTCATGCCTATAATTATAGCACTTTGGGAGACCAACACTGGTGGATCACTTGAGACCAGGAGTTCAAGACTAGGCTGACCAACATGGTGAAACACCATCTTTACTAAAAATACAAAAATTAGCTGAATGTGGTAGTGGGCACCTGTAATCCCAGCTACTTGGGAGGCTGAGGTGGGAGACCTGAGTCTGGAAGACGGAGGTTGCAGTGAATGAACATCATGCCACTGTGCTCCAGCCTGGGTGACAGAGTGAGACCCCATCTCAAAAAAAAAAAAAAAAAAAAAATACTGTACGTATAGTGGTGGAGTCAAACTAGACCTAATGTTTCTCCCAAATATGCTTCAAGCTTTGCTCATGCAGATCTCTACCTAAATTTTTCTTTCTCTTCAGATTACCTATCCATAATAAAGGCAATCAAAATTCTCTTTATAGTTTTTCTGGTTTCCCTCCATACACCCTCAAACATAAAGTAACATAAAAATAGTAGCATACATGGATCACCTATGTTCTCATTTCCTTGTAACCTTATACCTTTTAGGGTACTTGTCATATTCTGTCATTACTTTTGTTTTTCTATTGATCTGGTCTTTATTACTAAATTACTTGTACTTTGAGGACATAGACTAGGCATTTTTTTCTTTCTTGTGTATGTGTATGTTTAGATCTTTTAAAATCTTGAACCATAACATAAAGAGATAAGTGCACAAGACAAAAATATTTAGCTAAGTAATTTACCAGTAAGTCAAGAAGTGGACCATGACAGCACTTCAGAAAGAGGTCGTGGATTTGATTTGCTAACATTTCAACGAAGACTTTTGCATCTGTATTCATGAGGGATATTGGTCTGTGGTTTTCTTTCTCTTTTCCTTTTTTTCCCCTATCTTTTACTCTGATATCTCTTTAATACTAGCCTTATAGCGTGAATTGGGAAGGATTCACTTTTATAGAAGTGTTCATAAATGATTGGTATTATTTCTTATTTAAATTTTGATAGAATTAACTAGTTGAATCATCCAGGTATGGGCTTTTCTTTGTGGGAAGACTTTAAATTATTTTTTTTTTTCTATTCCTTTACATATTAGAGCCTGTTGAGATTTTCTATATGTTCTTTATTCAGTTTCAATAATTTCTTTCTTTCTAGGAATTTATCCAGTTCATCTCAGTTCTCTAGTTTGTTCATAGTAGTGCCTTACAGTCCTTTTAATTTCATAAGGTTTGGTAGTCAAGTTCCTCCCCACTTTTGTAATTTTGGTAATCCTTATTTTCTTTCTCTCTCTCTCTCTTTTTTTTTTCCTTAATCATATCACTCAACATTGAAGTTGTCAAAGAAGTTATTGAAGTCAAAGAACCAACTTGGGGTTCATTGAGTTTTCTCTATTTTTCATTGGTTTTCATTGATTCTGTTCTCTTTATTATTTTCTGCTTCCTTTAGCTTTAATTTGCTGTTCTTTTTCTATGTGTTTAGGCTTAGAGAGTTCTCTTTTTCTCAAGTACAGGAATGTAGAACTATAGATTTCCCTCTAAGCACTGCTTTAGCTGCATCTCATAAATTTAGATATGTCATGTTTTTATTTTCATTCAGTTCAAAATATTTTTAAATTTCATCTTGATTTCTTCTTTGAATTACTTAAAAGTATATTGGTTAATTTTCAAATATTTGGGAATTCTTACCAAGTATCCGTTTGTTATTGATTGCTAATTTAATTTTGTTAAATTTGCAGAACATATTTTGTATTGTTTCAGTCCTTTTAAGTTTGTTGAAATATCTTTTATAGTCTAATATAAGATCTGTCTTGGAGAATGTTCCATGTGTACAGGAGAAGAATATGACTAAATTGACATCAGTCTTATGAAATAGTAGCTTGTAGAACTTTGTATGTTTGTATGTTTCCTGTGTTGAGGACATAAATGTGTCTACCTAAATAAAGGATAAGAATCTGAGGAACAAGAAAGATGGACCATACGGTAAGGGATATTGCTTATTTGCAGATCCATTCTTTGTTCTCCACTATATCTTGTGAGAGTAATCTCTAGGACTTTACCAACCAGCTTATTTTCCCTCTGACAGCCAGTCATCGCCCTCCAGGTGATTCTGATGTGTACTAAAGTAGGTATTTTGAGTCATAAGAGAAGGAAAGATATGCACAGGCTTGATAGCCATTTGGAGCACTAGCAGAATATTGGCGTGTTGGCAGGAGAAAGAGAATGAAGCTTTTTTTTTTCTGCCCTCTCTCATGATGTTGTTATGAGCCACAATCATGGGAAGGTCACAGCTCCTGTTGGGCAGCTGTCTCCATACAACAGTCTCTCCAGCTTCTGGGGATGTTGCTTTCCCTCACCCTCAGGCCTAAGAATGGCAAAGGATCCCGTGTTATGTCTAGTCCAACTAACTGCAGTATCCGTTGTGGTTTTCCTATATCCTGCCCACACTTTTATAAAGAATTTGATAATAATTCTCCCAAGTTGAGAGTGTTGTCTGTTTCCAGCTTGGACTCTAATTGATTGAAATATGACCTAAGTAATGGAGAGAAGTAATAGAATGTGGAGATTTTGTTGATTTTTTTTGAGACGGAGTTTCGCTCTTTTTACCCGGGCTGGAGTGCAGTGGCGCAGTCTCACCTCACTGCAACCTCTGCCTCCTGGGTTCAAGGATTCTGCCTCAGCCTCCCAAGTAGTTGGGATTACAAGCATGTGCCACCACGCCTGGTTAATTTTTGGTATTATTGTTTTTTTTTTAGTAGAGATGGGGTTTCATCATGTTGAACAGGCTGGTCTCGAACTCCTGGCCTCAAGTGATCCACCTGCCTCAGCCTCCCAAAGCACTGGGATTACAGGTGTGAGCCACTGCACCTGGCTGAATGTAGAGGTTTTGGTTCAAGGATATTTTACCTAGAAATTTGGCAGTGAACAGATTTATGAGAGACATATAACTTTAAAATAGATGGTGCATTTGTTTTATATATATTTTTAAAAAGAGGTCTGTGCATCTAGAAGGCAGAAAGGGAGGAGTCAATGCACATAGAAAGAGACTGAGATGCTGGAAAGACAGAAATAATGGTAGAATGAGAATGAAGATAAAACCAAGAGTGCAAAGTTAAACTTGTAGGAAAGGAAAGAAGTGCTACTTAATTTTCTTAAACTGAAGGAAAGAAATTGAGGATAATTTTATTGATTCCTGGAGTAGCAACATCAACATCACTGGGAACATGTGATAAATACAAATTCATGGACTTCGCCTGTACTGAATTGGAAACAAGAAGGGGTGCCCAGCAATCTGTTTTAACAAGCCCTCCAGGTGATTCGGATGCGTGCTAAAGTAGATATTTTGAGGCAAAAGAGAAGGGAAGATACGCACAGGCTTGGTAGTCTAGAAATGTTTTCTATTGCATAGCGAGGGTTGGTAGCTGGAAGAAAATGGAAAACATTTGCTATACAAATTTAAAAGCCTCAGTTTTGTTTATTAGGAATGGGAGGCTTTTCCTTAATTGATAGTGAAAGGGAGATGTTTGTAAGTTGCTTACTTTTAAAATCTCAAACATTTAGTGCAGCTTTAAAAGATGTTGAGATTTCCTTGGGTGCCCTAGAGTTCACTGATTTTAATTATTTATAACTTCTGTGAAGAAAACAAAAGTTTTTCCAGCTACATGATCCGATAGAAAATGAAAATTAAATGGCTCAGACTAAGAAGATGTGG